TTTTAGGTCTTTCACCTATTTCTTCACAGTTTGTAAGAATGATATTTTCGTGGTAATGATTTTATGTCTTTTTGTAGTAATGATATTATGTCTTTGTCATTTGTTTTACAGTTTTCCATCAGTAATATGATTTTTCTATTAATGTTGTGTTTGTTATAAAGAACAGACAATGATACCAAATGAATAATAAAAGTATTTACTAAACTATTATAGGCATAGCTTCATCAACAACCCCAACCAGCTACCTCAAATATGAGAAAATAAAATAATCTCCAGGCCAGGGGCAGTGGCTCATGCCTGTAATCCCAGCACTTTGGGAGGACCAGCAGGGGGATCACCTGAGGTCATGAGTCTGAGACCAACCTGGCCAACACGGGAAACCCCGTCTCTACTAAAAATACGAAAAGTAGCTGGTGGCATGTGCCTGTACTCTCAGCTACTCGGGGGGGCTGAGGCAGGAGAATCACTTGAACCTGAAAGGCAGAGGTTGCAGTGAGCCGAGATCACGCCACTGCACTCCAGCCTGGGTGACAGAGGGAGATCCGTCTCAAAAAAAAAAAAAAAAAAAAAAAAAAAAAAAACAGCTTTCCAGAAAATAAAAGAAAGGTACATCCTCCCTCTTCCCAGAAACACTCAGATGCAACATGACTAACACGTTGATGGAACACAGCAGGACAGGGATAATTTTCCTGAAGAGAAGAACTCTGTATTTCAGTCTCTAAAACAGATTAAGTTACCGCATGAAGTAGGGTGATCAACTTGTCCTGGTTTGCCTGGTACTGTCCCTGTGTTAGTACTGAAAGTCCCATATCCTAGGAGCATCTCCCCTCCTCCCTAAGTCCCCAGCAGACTTAGTCACCCAAAAAAGAGAATAATCTGTTTGCCTCTAAGCCAGTGGCTGTTTTCTTTTTTTGGGCTCTGGATCCCCTGGAGAATCTGATGACGTCTGCGAGTTACTTCCCTGGAAAAAGATACAAACTCATAGGTTTATGAAATTTTGCTATAAAACTTCAGATAAAAATTCTCTTAAAAAATAGACTGATTGGCTGGGCGTGGTGGCTCATGCCTGTAATCCTAGCACTTTGGGAGGCCGAGGTGGGTGGATCACCTAAGGTCAGGAGTTCAAGAACCAGCCTGGCCATCATGGTGAAACCCCATCTTAAAAAAAAAAAAAAAAAGACTGATTCTTTATTTATTTGTTTGTTTGTTTATTTTTGAGACAGAATCTCGCTCTGTCACCCAAGCTGGGGTGCAGTGGCGCCACCTTGGCTCACTGCAACCTCTGCCTCCCAGGTTCAAGTGATTCTCCTGCCTCAGCCTCCCAAGTAGCTGGGATTACCGGCACCTGCCACCACACGCAGCTAATTTTTATATTTTTAGTAGAGACAGCGTTTCACCATGTTGGCCAGGCTGGTCTCAAACTCCTGACCTCAAATGATCCTCCCACCTCAGCCTCCCAAAGTGCTGGAATTACAATGGACTGATATTTAAAGAAACTTTTAAGATACTTTAAATCTTGGATCTAAATCCAAGAAGAAATTGATTTTGAGGATCTTTTATTAAAGTGTGAAAGTGTGGACAGTATCATTACAGAAACTCTGCTCCATTGAGCCAACTCCAGAGACTTTCATAAAGCAGATAACTCTTGGGTCATTGTGCCTTGAGGGACTTCTTCCAGAAGCTGAGAGGCTGTTGTCCAGCCACTGGGATTTCTGGGATTTTTAATTTTATGTTGAAAGAGAACTGGAAGAATCTGAATGCAATTAGCCTGTTCACTAGACCATCTTTCTCACAACATTTATAAAATTGGTTTGGTGCCTACCCTGCTCTCTATATGCCACTGGTTCTTTATGTATACTATTTTTTAATTCTCATAACAGCCTTGCAAGGTGGATATTAGTAACATTATTTTTACATATTTGAGGAAACTAAGGTTGAGAGGGTCAGATAACATGCCCAAGGTCACCAGCAATGGGATATTTTCCCCTAAATTCAAACCCATGATTTTTCCATTACTATGCTTATTCCTCAAAGTCTGGTTCAAAGACTCCCCATTAAAAGGTCCTACCACAGACTTACTACATCAGAATCTCTGGAGGTGGAAAAGGGTATCTGTATTTTGGAAAAGATTCTCAAGAACATCTTGTTTGCATTGCTACAGACCCATTAATGACAGTTGTGTTCGGTATGCCATTGACACAGGCTGGATCTTGTCATATTTATAGCCTACTTGTTTGACAAGTACAGATTTTGTGTGTTGGCACAAAACCAAATTACTTTAGATATGAGAAGCATGGAAAACAATGTTGACATGCTTTCATGGGCAACCAGGATATATACACAGTTTTATCTGCCTGAATAATATAACCTGTGGGCCTAAGTTCTTTAAGAATGACTTCATAGAATGCCACTCCTTTTCCTTGGCTGTGCTTTGCAATTACCTGGGAAAAACGTTAAAATACTGATGTCTGGGGCCAACCCACGGAAATGTTGATTTAATTGATTTGGTGTCAGGTGTTTTTAAAGCCCATCAGGTGATCTGAAGTCTAGCCAAGTTAGCTGCTGTTTTAAATTGTAGTTAGTACCTATCAAAGGTAAAACCTGGCTGGTGCAGTAGCTCACACCTATAATCCCAGCACTTTGGGGGTCCAAGTTGGGAGGATTGCTTGAACCCAGGAGTTTGAGACCAGTCTGGGCAAGATGGTGAGACTCCCTTCTCTACAAGTTACAAAATTATCTGGGCATGGTGGCGCACACCTGTAGTCCAAGCTAACTAGGAGGCTGAGGCAGGAGGATCTCTTAAACCCAGAAACTCTTACTAATCAGAAACACCAGGGGTGTGGCCAGAGATCTGTTTAAATCAGCCCTCCAGTGGCTTCAACTCACACGAGAGTTTGAGAACCACCACTTAAAAGGGAAGCACTGTGCAAGAGAGATCAGTCACAAAGCAAACTACAAAAGAGCGGACGCTGTTATTAGGTGTTGTCTGTTCAAAAGATTGCTTGATGGCCTGGCATGGTGGCTCATGCCTGTAATCCCAGCACTTTGGGAGGCTGAGGCGGGTGGATCACAAGGTCAGGAGTTGAAGACCAGCATGGCCAATATGGTGAAACCCCGTCTCTATTTAAAAAAAAAAAAAAAAAAAGAGATTGCTTGATTCACAGTCAATCCGAGAAGATATTTTGTACTCTTTTGGGCACAGCCCCCAGGTTTTTGGCTCCACTGGATTCCCAGGTAAGGAGGCATAACCCCCCTATTTTTCTAAGTGTTTTTCAGGCCACTTGCTGAGCAGCAGGCTGTGTTGCACAAAGTGAGAAGCGTTATTTGCCTTCCTCTTCTATTTACTCTTCCCATCCCCCACCAGTTGCTGCTGGCGTCCACCCTGCTCAGCCAGAGGCTTTCTACAACTAAAATTTGCTGAAGTCTTTTTAATGCTGTTTTGCTAGAGAAGGAAGAAGAGGGTTTGGGTCTTGATTTCCTAATAAAAAATTCCCGCCGTTACCTATTTGCTGAACCACAGATATTAGTCTCATGCTGCCTTTAGGAAGGAAAACGCCTGTGTTGATTCCAATGTCTGAAGGAGTCAACCCCTTCCCCACGCCATCCGTGCAAACCAGGGGAGCACAATCCGGTGGCGAGGCCTCTGCCTTCGACAAATACATGGTTTTGGGGCCGGATAGGTTCTAACAGAGCAGGCATTTTTCTCTGTGAAACTTTCATAAGAAGCTGCAGCCTCCTTTTTTTTAAAAAAAAAAACAAAACGAAACAAAAAAACCATATCCCTATGTGGTTAAAACATCTGTGCTGCAAAACTTTGGGTCCTGGTGCAATGATTAACCTTTACCTCCTTATCACCCTTAGTGTAAGCGATTTCCCCCACTCAAAGATAAACAGGAATAGAGAGACTTCTGGGGTGAGTCTGGGAAGTATGTAATTTTTTTGTGCATCTTTTGAAAGCTGACATTTTCTCTGTGGAGTATTTGGAGAAAATGTTTCTCAAATGTGTTTTCCTATTAGGCTAAACTGGCTCACCATTTTCATTTCTAATCCCATGATGAGATATTTGATAAATTAAACCATAAAACAAATGCTACCTGAGATTGTGCATGCTTTGGAAAACATTTTCATGCGCATTTGCAATTAAACGGTGCCACCCAGCTTCAGGACCCGGGCCTCTGCATTTCGCTCCCATGACATTAATTTCCAGTGCCTAATGAAGGAAGCAGTGACACCAGGGACTCCATGCCGGCAGCCAGGTGTGCATCTTAGCTCCTGTGTACCACCAGTCCCACCCAGGCAAGGCAGGGGAAGTGCTCCGGCCAGCTCACAATTCTACATCTGACACCCAGCCCCAGGGACAGCCCCTGGGATCCCTGGTGAGCCAACAACCCTTTCTGTCCACGGCCGGCCGGAGGCGGCAGGCAGAGACAGCTTCCTTGGGAAAGGCCAGCAAATTTATGCCAGTCAGGGACTGAGAGCTCGGAGGATGGTGTGAACTGCAGTAGGGGAAGGGAGAATTTGTTTCCAAGCTGGGCACAGAACAACTGAGGAGGTGGTTTCACCCCGTGATAGATTTTTCTCTGAATGTTCAGCTTTAGTTTTCATCCCTGGGAACTCCTGGCAGAGACCTCTCACACCCACATGCCTTCTCCCCACTCCTGACACCCTTCTAAGAACTGCCTCACAACAAACTCATGAAAATGGCCCAGGGAAGGTTTCCCAGATACAATACAGGAAGCTCAGTGAAATGTGAGTTTGAGAGAAACAACGAAGAATTTGTCAGGATAAGTATATCCCAAATATTTCACTAGCTATACTAATGACTTCTTTGTTGTTTATTTGGATTTCACATTTCACTGGGTGTCCTACATTTTTATCTGCTAAATCTGGCGACTTTAAGTGGATAACAGGGAAAAGTGCAAGACAGATCGTGACCTCTCTGGGGCTGCCCATGGGTCCACCAGTGACAGTTTTTACAGAAAGAGAAACCGCACACTCACCGTATCGGCACCTGTACTGACAGACTCCATTCTTCCCTCCCAGCAGCTCCAGAAAAGAATCGAAGTAGCTATTGACGGATTCAAAGCTTCCCCGGATGTGCCGAAGGCCCCAGTCTGAATAGGACTCCTCTGCATCAGGGCTCGTGTCACCCTGAGCCAGGCCACCCCCCAGGCAGAGCCACAAAACCAAGAAGCCACTGGCCAGCTCCATCCTGCAGCCAGGTAGGTACTGGGTTCTCTCCTCAAACTCCGCCAGTGTCCCAGAAGTCCAGGGACAAACCCCCTACCCAGATGTCAGGCAGGACTGGGAAAGGGATTATCTGGAACGTTCAATCTGTCTGTTCCCCAGAGGTGGACTTTAAACATAACTATGGAGGCTGGGATGAGATCAGGGCAATTAGAAAGAGGGCAAAGGTTAGGGAGTGGGAGGGGCAGGAAGAGAGGACACTTCAAAGTGGATTCCACCACCCTGGAGGAGGGAGATGTTAGCCAACTTCTAGGACGCAGGGACAGGGGAGCATTCAGAGTTCTACCCTCACCAGCTTGTTAAACTATTGATCAGTTACAAGTGTGGCTCTTCAGGGCCAGCCTCTTGACAGAAGAGCTTGTCCGAAGGTCTTGGCCCCACCCCTCAGCCAGCTTCCTACACAGTCTCCAAGGAGAGTCAGGAGGTTGTGTAAAGGGCTCAGAAAAGCCCCAGTGGTAGGGATTAATAGTCACTTTACCAAGGGTCACGATATTGTCAGAAAATGCACCAAGTGTGCATGAAGTAGAAGTTCAGATCTGAGACCCCAGCTTCTGCTTTGGAACCTACCTGGCGCTCAGACTCATAAATTCTCTAATTTGGCAGAGCTCCCAGATGTAGCCATCTGAGTGTAGGGCCATTTTTGCTTCTATTTACAGCGGTATCTATTTACACTCAGCAGTACTGGGTCATAAGACAAGATCTACAGATGGTCCAAGGACGATTCTGGAGGCACTCGGCTCTCCTGGTGGTGCTTTTCCTTTGAGTTACTTAAAAGTCAGGGGGTTTATCAAATAGAAAGCCTATTTGAGAGTTTAGGCTTTTAAGATTGTTGATTGAAGTCTAGTGTTTTGGCATCATTTTTGGTTTAAACTCTGCTTTTAGTTGTGTGAAGAAATACCATCTATAAAATCACTAGTCTAGGGCCAGGTGTGGTGGCTAACACCTGTAATCCCAGCAGTTTTAGAGGCTGAGGCAGGTGGATCACCTAAAGTTAGGAGTTTGAGACCAACCTGGCCAACATGGCAAAACTCTGTCTCTACTAAAAATACAAAAATTAGCTGGCGTGGTGGCACAAGTCTATAGTCCAAGCTACTCCAGAGGCTGAGGCAGGAGAATCGCTTGAACCCAGGAGGTGGAGGTTGTAGTGAGCCAAGATCCCGCCATTGCACTCTCACCTGGGCAACAAGAGTAAAACTCCATCTCAAAAAATATATATAATAGTAAAATAAAATAATCACTAGCCTATAAAAATGATACCTTTATGGACCACATGAATCATTGAGCTCCTTTCTCACATGCTTGTCTGAAAAGCCCCATGGAAAATAATGAATTAATTTCTTCATTTTCGATAAATGTTTTTGGCTAAAGACTCAGACTCCAGGAAGGGCAGTGGCTAAAAATTAGTAATAGTAACAACAGTGATGCCATGCAATATTTTAAAGCATTTATACTTTTTCATACCACTTTCATACATACACACACACACACACACACACACACAGGCACACAGAGCCAGCCACACACATACACATGCACATGTGCATAAATGTTCATGTCAGTTTCATGAAGCAGGGTAAATATTCCCAGTTGGGAGGTGAGAAAACTGACAGAGGGTAAGTGACTTGATCAAAGCTGGACAGGCTATCCGTGGGAAAGCTGGCACCAGGGCCAGACACATAACTCGTGGGGTTTCGCCAAAACAAAACTGCAAATGCAGCACTCCTTTTCCAAAAGCAGGTGGAATATGCCATTAAAATGCTAACTCTAAAGCTTTTTCCTTTATAAAGGTCTACTATTTGTAAAATATAATAGGGGTAATAGGGATACATGAGTATCAATATAAACAAATTTTAAAAATATTTTTGGTGTCATAATTTTATATAATATTATCTATTACTTTATAAATATGTGATATCTTGCTTGATCGTAAGATTTTTCTGACTGGCTTTGCTAAAAGTTCATTGATTAGGTCATCAAAGTTTATACTTTTAACAGCCTAATTTCCAATCAGTATAATTGAAAGTGATGTCAGTTGCTCTTGGCAAATGTAAGATGGCAGGAATGTTGATACTTTTTAATTCTGAGAAGGATCTTTTTGCTGATGCAACTGTGACTAGAACTGTTACAGTAGTTCCCCTCATTTCTTGACACCTTATACATTTTTTAATTGTGGTAAAATACACATAACATATTTAGCATTTTAAATATTTTTAAGTGTGCGATGCAATGGCATTAAGTACATTCATACATTGTTGTGCAACCATCACCAATATCCATCTCCAGAATTTTTCTTCATCCCAAACCGAGACTCTGTTCCCATTAAGTGGTAAGTCCCCATTTCCCCTTTCCCCAGCCCCTGGCAGCCGCTATTCTACTTTCTGTTCTTACAAATTTGCCTATTCTAGGTACCCCACATAAATGGAATAATATAATATGAGTCCTTTTGTGTCTGGCTGATTTCACTTAGTATCATGTTTTAAGTTCACCCACGTGGCATGTATCAATACTTCACTGATAATACTGCTGCTATGAATATTGATCTACAAATACCCATTCAAGTCCCTGCTTCTGATTCTTTTGGGTATTATATATCTAGAAGTGGGCTTGCTGGATGGTAATTCTATGTTTAACTTTCGAAGAACCATCATATTGCTTGTCCACAGTGGCTGTACCATTTTACATTCCTGCCAGCAATGTACAAGATTTCTAATTTCTCCACGTCTTTGTCAACACAGGTTTTCCTTTTCTTTTTGACAAGTCATCCTAATGAGTGGGAGGGAATATCTCATGCATCTCCCTCATAATTAGTGATGTTGAGCATCTTTTCATGTGCTTTATTGGCTATTTACGTATTTTCTTTGGAGAAACATCTATTTAAGACCTTTGTCCATTTTTCATTTGGGTTTTTTTGTTGTTGTTGAGTGTTAGAAGTTCTTTATATACTCTGGATATTAATCTCTTATCAGGGCTGGGCATGGTGGCTCATGCCTATAATCCCAGCACTTTGGGAGGCTAAGGTGGGTGGATCGCTTGAGCTCAGGAGTTCAAGACCAACCTGGGTAACATGGCAAAAGCCCATCTCTACGAAGAAATACAAAAATCAGCCAGGTGTAGTGGTGTGTGGCCATAGTCCCAGCTACTCGGGGTTGGGGGGGATGGTTTGAGCCCAGGATGTTGAGGCCATGGTGAGCTGAAAATGTGCCATTACACTCCAGCCTGGACAAAAGAGCAAGACTCTATCTCAAAAAATAATAATAATAATCTCTTATCAGATATATAATTTGCATATATTTCTCCCATTCTTTTGGTTGCCTTTTCACTCTTTGGTAGTATCCTTTTCACAAAAGTTTTAAATTTTGATGAAGTCTGATTTATCTATTTTTTTTTTCTTTTGTTGACTGTGATTTTGTGTGTCATAGCCAAGAAAGCATTGGCAAATCCAAGGGCATAAAGATCTTGACCCCATGTTTTCTTTAACAGTTTTACTGTTTTAGCTCTTATGTCTTTGATCCATTTTTTAAAATGACAACAGGATCAGGAGCAGTGGCTCATACCTGTAACCCCAGCATTTTGGGAGGCCAAAGAGGGCAGATTGCTCAAGTCTAAGAGTTCAAGACCAACCTAGGAAACATAGGGACCTTGTCTCTTAAAAAAAAAAAATCAGCTGGGCATGATGTCATGCACCTATAGTCCTAGCTACTCTGGAGACTGAGGTGGAAGGATTGCTTTAGCCCAGGAGGTGGATGTTGTGGTGAGCTAAGATTGTGCCACTGTACTCCAGCATGAGTGACAGAGCAAAACCCTGTCTCAAAATAATAATAATTATATCTATGTTGCTAGAATTAAGGTACAATTATGTTTCTTTGGGACCTCTACCTCCTGGGTCTCGGGTTCAAGTGATTCTCCTGCCTCAGCCTCCTGAATAGCTGGGACTACAGGTGCCCACCATCACGCCCAGCTAATTTTTGTATTTTTAGTAGAGACGGGGTTTCACCATGTTGGCCAGGCTGGTCTCAAACTTCTGACCTCAAGTGATCTGCCCATCTTGGCCTCCCAAAGTGCCGGGATTACAGGCGTGAGCCACCGCACCTGGCCTGGAATTATGGATCTTCTGTGTTGGCAGGAATATGAAAGGTAATCTTGTCCAGCAGGTCTTCTAATACTTGAATCCCCTCTATGCTGATCAGCTTTCTTGGTAGCTTCAGAGTTAGCCACCACATTTTTAATATGTAAGGAGGAAATGATTATGTTTTAGTTTGAAAATTTAAATATGCTTTCTCTTTTTTTTTTTTTTTTTTGAGACAGAGTCTCACTCAGTCACCTGGAGACAGTGGCATGATCATGGCTTACTGCAGCCTCCACCTCCCGGGCTCAAGCAATGCTTTCTCTTAATACAAAGAGAAAGCTTCGTATTAAAAGCTTTACTTGTAACACAAAGGATAAATGATGATTGCTACATAGAGAAAAGCATCTTGTAAATAAGTAATGCTCAGTTTTTCTTTATCTGTTCCGATATTCTTCTGTTTCTCAAAATTGTAAAGAATGAAGCAAATGGATTTCTAGAGTACGAGAATGTAACACACTCCCTTCTCTCCTGAGTTGTTTCTACCTAGACTCTAAGGTTTGACTTCTGCAGTTGTTGACATGACATCGTTATGATGAGAGATGCCATCAGTTTTGAATGAGAAACAGAAGAATATTGCTGGAACAGATAAAGAAAAATTGAGGGTTACTTATTTACAAGATGCTTTTCTCTATGTAACAATCAGCATTCACTACCTAAATTAATTTTGTATTTTAGAAATCAGCCTCTTTTTACCATGGGTGTTCTAACTCAACAATTTGGTTAGAAGTTTAGTGAAGAGAACAGGGTACTTCTGAATGTCAGTCTCATGAATTCTAGCTACACTTTTCATCTGTTTCATCAAACCCTTGAGTTCCAAATGTCTTTATTCTTTCACAAAGTTTTCCTCTTTTCCTTCCATAATTTTCGGAATACGCTTTATGTATGAGAAGGGATGAAAAGTAACGAGACCAACTTCATCAATAATGTATATGCTAATGAGCTTTGAAGTTCAAAGTTAGTCAAAACTTGTCCTGGGGGCCCAGACAATTATCCCAGTGTTGTCATTGCTAAAAACAGCTCAAAAACGTTTCAGAACAACTTTATGAGCCACATAGCCTGTTCCATGATCACTGGAGCTAGATCTGTTGTTCTCAACCTTGTTTCACATTAGGATCACATAGGGAGCTTT